TATCTTTATAGCCCCTGTGGTTCTAGAACACAAACCATGCTTAATCGTATTTCTGGAATTGAAAGAAATTGAGAGACTGAGGCTGCATTTCTTTAATAGGGAACTTGGTAGTATCGATTTCATCCTTCCTATGGGAGTGTAGATAGAACCACCTGGAGACCAGAAGATGAATTTTATAGTGGACACTACAAGCAGTTCCAGAGGGTCCCACTCAGCTTGCATACATGTTCTAATGACCCTCAAGATGGGTTTACCATGGAGTTAATGAAGCTCAAGTTCCTGGGCCTGCCCCCTACCACACTGCCTTCAAACACACACACACCCTTGCCTGGGCCTTGTGAGTGCTGGGAGTTATGGAGAGTTCCAGGCAGAAAGGAGAAGCCAGGATGCAATTAGAAAACATTCCTGCATTACCATTCCTGGCCAACTGGCTAAAGGATCTTTGCATATAGGAGAAAAACCTTCCATGCTGCAGCGAGTTGTGTTTTTGTTTCGCACCCTCTGTAAATAGCCATTGTCACACTAAAGATCGTATCTATCATTTTGCATCCACTTTTTAAACAGTCCTCAAATTGTATAAGGCTCAGGTCCCACAATCTGGGTCTGCTCCTGGTTGAGTGAGAGCATTTTAGAACTTTTAAAATTACTTATAAAGTAATAAAAATACATTTTTAAAACCCAATACATTTAACACTGCAAACTAGATTTCCAGTTTATTTGGGCAACAGGAGGGTATGACAATGAAAGTCTGTCTGTATTCCCTCCCACAGGGCCGCAGTTACCTAGAGCTAGGTCACGGCTGCCCCACTTGGACATACCGTCCGCTGTCCAGTTCGTGGCAGGCAACCCACCACCACCTCTCTTCTCCCTTGTCTCTGGCCCACTTGACTCAGTTGTGTTTGCAAACCTGTCTCTACACCATATGCCTACCAGGGCACTGGCCTTAGGTCTCTAAATGCATTTTCAATGAACGAATGAAGGTGAGACAAATGTTCCCTTGAAGTTGCTTGTCCATAAGACATGCAAAAGCAGAACCAGAAAGGAGATGACAGGTGATGCCAGGAGCAGGCACTGAGGACAAGAAGTCCATGAGACCTATAAAACCAGTGATGGCCTTGGCGGGTGAAGGGACCGCACTAAGAAGGAGCCTCCTCATGGGGAGAAGTGGAGGTCCTGAGGGCAACAGAAGTGAGCTGTCCTAGGGTGGTGCCTGTGGCTCAAAGGAGTAAGGCACCGGCCCCATATGCCAGAGGTGGTGGGTTCAAACCCAGCCCTGGCCAAAAAAAACAAAAAACAAAAAACAAAAAAACTGAAAGTGAGCTGCCCTTCTGCCTACCACCTGTGGACTGTCTAGGATCCAGAAGCTGACCTCATGCTGCCCCAGGAAAGGCGGTCCATAAGGGGTCAGAGTTCACACTGACTACCCTGAGCCATGATGTGGACTCCCATCTATAGACATGATCACTCCCGTTTGGGTGGGAAGCTGTGGAAAGCAGAATTCTAAGGTGACCTCCCTAGTGAGTGGCACCCTTGCATAATCCTCTGCTCTCCAGCATGGGACTGACCAGTAAATGTGATGGCTCCATTGCTATGACTAGTAATACATATTATTTGGTAAAGATGGCAGGGTTTTGAAAATATAACTAAAGTTCCTAATTAATATGACTTTGAGTTAATTAAAAGAGAGATTATCCTGTGTGATCTTGACTCAATCAGTTGAGCCCTTTCAAAGAGACCTATGGTCTTCCTCGAGAGAGACATTCTCCTGCTGGCCTCAGAGAAGCAAACTGCTGGTTCTGGAGCAGCAAAGCATCGAATTCCACCACCAACCCATGAGTTTGGGGAGGAAGACACCAAGCCTCTCGTCAGTCTGACTCCCCAGCCGGCACCTGAACTGTAGCCTGAGGACCCCGCCTGGCCAGAGGCCCCAGACAACGCACGCCTGAATTCCTTACCACAGGGCCTGTGAGATAACAGACGTGTGTGTTGTCATAAGCTGCTAAATTTGGTTTGTTACGTAGCCATAGATAACTAACCCCAAAGTAAAGAAAGTCATAACATAGGTGAAGCGTACAGGGCTGTTTGTATCATCATGAGTGGCTGCAGATGGTTGGGGAAGAGGAGGGAGAGAGCCAGGCCTGAAACATGCCAGGAAGAATGGTTCCGGGCATTCAACACGTACCATTTCCTGTCAACTTCCCAACTCTGCAGGCAAGTAAGTGTTCCGGAGTCCATTTTATAGGCAAAGATGCTGAGTGTCTCAGAGGACTTTAATAACTCATTCTAGGTGGAGGGTTATGCTAACTCAAATGAAGAGCCTCTGGCACTGGAGCCTCACGTCTCTGTCTGCGTCACACCCTGCGCTCTAGGCCCCATGATAGAAGGTCACAGGGCAGCAGAGCAGAGGAGAAGGGCTGCCAGGAGGCGGAATTACAAGATGCCAAGTTCCACCACCACTTCCCTGATTTTTTTTTTTCCACAAAAATTGCTTGATTGGAGAGGGGTAAAGGATGAACTTCTACATGGGCATTTTTATGTGCACAGATGTGCCAAGCCATAGAGGGTATAAATCTCAGAGGACAAATGCCAGCAGTTCTACACGATGATGGGGAAACTGAGGAGGGCTGTGGCTATCCACTTTTCCCAAATTCACATACACAAAAAATTAAATAAATAAATAAAATAAATTATGCTCCCCTACATATACACACTCCCAGGCCTACAGAGGGAAAACAGCTCTTGTCCAAATCATCTGGGTCATGCAGACCCTCACATTCAATGCTGACTGCTGCTGACTTCATCCAACTTTCACTGAAAAACTCATCTCCTCAGCCCCAAAGCCTTCAGGATAAAAATCTGTTTGGCTTTTGCTTTTTTTTTTTTAAACTGTTTTACTTTTTTAATGTTGCTCAAAATAGTTTTCTCTGCTCAGATAATTTTGCAATATTCCTTATCCCACCGATCTCTTCCCCGTAGAGGACCTCCCTGCCACACACATCTCCAAGCTGGTGGGAGCGCTTCCAGGCTCCTGTGCGGGAGCATGTCCGCACCTCCCCCAATTGGCCTCCTTGCATTGAAGACCGGGGGGCTGGGGTGGGGCTGAGCCAGGGAGGTGTGGAGGAAAAGGACTCTTGTCTTTCTGAGCGGCAGGCAGAGTAATGCCCTCTCCCTACCGCACCCCCGGGTTCGCGTCCTAATCCCAGGAATCTGTAAATAGGTTATATTAAGTGGCAAACAGGAATTAAGGTAGCAGATGGGATTAAGGACAGGAATCAACTGAGCTTACAATCAAGATGTTTATCCTTACAATAGGGTTAACTCAGAAGAGGGGTGCAGAAAATGGGGGGATTTATAAAGCATAACGTGGTAAGAATTTAACCCACAATCAATGGCTTTGAAAATGGAGGAAGGGGCCAGGAGCCAAAAAGCATGGGTGGCCTCTAGAAGCTGGAAAGGGCAAAGGAACAAGTCACCCCAGAGCCCCCAGAAGGAGGCGCAGCCTCCTGACACCTGGATTTTGATCCACTGAGACCCACTGGGGAGTTCTGACCTCCAGAATGGCAAGACAACAAATCTTGTAGTTTTAAGTCACTGAATCTGTGGGAATGTGTTGCAGGAGGAACAGGAAATAGTATTACCTAGTCGTTGAGAGGCGCCTACACACCTAACCAGCCCGCACACAGGCCCCCAAGAGGAACGTGGGTTGGACTGCTCTGTCGCTTTCTGACATGTCAGGAAATTGTCTATTTCTGAAGACTTATTTACATAAGCAACCTGATCAGATTCAAAGAGTGAGCTCAAGGGGCCTTGCAGATTGCCCGCATGAACTATTGTCCCATCAGGCCGCCTTCTGACACCACCCGATCTTTTCAAGGTTCAGAGTTCTGAGACCTAAGCAGGCCAGGCGTGCCACGAGAGAGCCACGTGCACGTGAGGGTGTAAATAAATTAAACCCAAAGTATGTGTGTACATAGTGCGGCTGTTTATTTTCTTTGCTGCTAGCTATTTAGCTAGCTTCTTGAGTGCAGGTTCTTTGCTTTATTTACTGATGTGCCTATTAACTCCTTAACTCAGTGTTGGGTAATGGATTCTCTCCCAAGGAGGAACTGATCGCAGAAGCCTTTGAACCTTCCCAAGTTTAGCCCGACGGAAGCTCTGCCATGCCCCCTGCTGTAGAGCCCTCCTAGTTAGAGCCCTCCTAGTTAGAGCCCAGCGGGCGGCTATCTGACTCCAGTAACTTCCTCCCCGCCGATTCCCCACCTCCCCCGACTCCGGGGTAGGGGTGGTGGGATCACTGTGTCCCGGCTGAATTTCATACACATTGAGTGAGATTTGTCCCAAAAAACATATCCCAGAAAAGTGAAAGGCTTCATTTTCTCCGTGGAAATGTAGCCAAGTCTGATAGTGGAGCTGCGAGATGTGCATCGTCGCTGTCTGTGCGCTAAGTCCCTGAAACGGAGGGGAGAGAATGTAGGGGGTCGGGTCCGTTGCAAACTTTGCTTCCTTTCAGGGGGTCCAGCTTGCGTCCAAAGAGGCCAGCAAGACGTGACCCGCGGTCGCGCACGTCTGTGGCGCAGCCTTGGCGGCGGCTGGAGGACAATCCCGGCGGCCGAGTCCCTCCTCACCAGCAGCAGCCGGGCGGGGCAGCCCCGCTGCGCACACCCAGCCCGGGGCCCGGAGCTCCCCAGCGCGCCACCTGCAAGCCCCGACGCGGCGTTGCAGCCCTTCCTTCTTCCTTCTGTGCGTCGGCTCCCGAGCTCCAGGGCCCCTAGCCCCGATCCCCGTCCCGGGCCCTGGCTCCCTCCCACCCTCTCCGCCCCGGCGGCCGCTCTGCCCGCTGCAAAGAGTTAAGAGCCGGCTTGGCAGACTCGGCCGGCGGCCGCAGGTCCCGGGCCGGGCTCGCCGCTCCTGATTGGCTGTGCGCCTGTCAGTAGTAAAGAGTATCAGATAGCAAACTTGGGACCTTCATAAAGGCGTGGTGCTGATACTCCGCAATCGCCGGCAGCCTATGACATCAGCCAGGAACGCCTGGGATGCCGCTGCTCCGGGCCAACCTCCGAGGAGTAGGAGAGTTCTGCCGGCTAAGAGTTAATTAGCCCCGCGCGGCGAGGGGGGAGGCGCCAGTTTTCTGGGGACACTGGCTGCCACCGTACTCCTCCTACCCAGGGGAGCTCACGGAGAGTTGGATGAATTCCGGGCTGTTAGCTGCGATCAGCCGGGCTCCCAAGAGCCTGTTCCTGGTGGAAAAAAGGGGGGCGTCTGGCAAAGGGACCAGCGGCTTCCCGAGCCTGTCAACATGACACTTCTGGGGTCTGAGCACTCTTTGCTGATTAGGAGCAAGTTCAGATCAGGTAGGGCTAAGACATTCAGCATTCCTTCTTAAACTTTCCTCTTCCACCCTTCTCAACTCTAGAACTGCTTTCCAATGAATGTTTCAAAGCTCGACTTTGTTCCCCCAAAGCTCATTTTGGAAGCGAAGAATTTTATCTGACTTTGGGGACCTTTGAATGTCTTCCGCGGTGAATGCTTTGAGTTGTGGAGTGTGGTTTTTCGTTTGTGAAAAGGCCCATCCTTTGTTTTTAAATTATTTTATTTTTTTCCCCTCTGAATCTATGAATAGAAATTTTGTAGGGGTACATCCAAAAGAAGCAACTTTGAAAATGAACAAATAAGGGATTTCAACCTTGGGAGCTGTGTGGTATCAGTTGTGCTTGCTGAGTAGAGGAACCTGACGCTGTGTGTTAGGTACAGAGGTCACTTAAAATGTAGCTAATCCAAACAAATGTATTTCCCAAAAAAGTCACTTGAGGGAAGTAAAAATAGCAAATTTGGAGCACACCAAGTATTTGAAATGACATCACTGTAGGAAAAAAAAAAAAAGAAAAAGAAAGCCCAGTGCCACAAATATTTTTTCCCAAACCATCTGATATTTATAAATAGAGGATTTTCCCCTAAATTTCTGTGTTAGTGGCACATGGAGAAACTTCTCAAAAGACGCTGAGTGGAGGTGAGTAGAAGGGAGCCATGGGACCGCTGATGGCTCCTCAAGAAGGGTTTGTTCCGCGACCATGGATATTGTCGCTGTGTGGGTTTCCACTGATAGACAAGGAGACTCTTGACTGCTGGAGTTATTTTTCAGTGGTTTTGTGTACAATGTTGGTTTTAAAGTTGAACAATCCATTCAATAATGGCAGAACTTCTGTTTAGGAGACGGATTACTTTTATGAGACCTCTGATGTGAACATTTGACATAATAGGTGTCAGAAAGACATAGGTGGTGTAGCTTGTTGAAGCTAAGTTGTCCTTAGGTCTTCTAAACAGGGCCACCCAATTGTTTCACTTGGGACAGATGCTTCGAAAATGAGGAAAGTGGATGCTAGCAAGTAAGGGTCGTCCTTGACTTTCTTAGTTGCCCTTGATTTTTAGATGTCTGTGGGGTCCAGTGAAGATTTTTCGTAGGATCTGCACGGTTGGAGCAAGTTAGAAACTAAAGAGCTTAGAAACAAGCCCCGGTGCCCCTGAAACTCCAGGCCTAGGCCCTCAGCCTCCAGGGTCAGCAGTGGATTAAAACTGTCCTTTCCATGCTGTGGTAAGGTGGTTGGTCGGTTAATCAGCTAGAGACCTTACCACAGCTTTGTAATGTGGTGGAAACTGCAAGGCAACACTGCCACCTTTCTGAGGAACAGAGGATGCAGAACCGTTTTGTGTGAAGCTGCATTCATCTCCAACACTTTTGCCAGTTTAATGTGAGAGGGTGGAGAGGGGGTGGTTTGTCTCTAAAGGGATGTACTTGATAGTAGGCTTGCAAAACAGACTTCCCAAAAGGAATCTCTCCTTCAGCTAAAGTACAGTGGAGAAGGAAAGTGATTTGGGGGCCACCAGTAATTCCCATCTTGGCAGATTTGTGACATCCTGGGGTCTCCTAAGATCTTGATCCTGAAACTTCAGAGAATTCCAGCCACACCTTTCCTTTTAATCTTTTACAGGCTTTTGTGTCCTAAGGAAGGGTGGCTAGGGAAAACGTGATAGCAGAGCAGAAGCAGGCATGCTTAATCCTTCATCTTTGATGGAAAGGGAACCTGGAGTCTGGGAAGGACAAAGGGATTTGGTCATCTGAGATGCAAAGATAATAGTCTCTTGAAAGACAGAGCTTAAAAACAAGCCGAATGTGAAACACAGAAAATGTAGAGTTGTGGATGGTGGCTCTTCTTTCTGGATGTAATTATGCATAGAGCGGTACCAGCATGGGGTCTGGCTGGCTGTGCGTTCAAGGCCTCTCTGTAAGACAGCTGGCTTGTTTACTTTGTCACTGACAGTGGATGACGACGGCCTCCTCATTTTGATCTCTCTGTCTTCTTCTTCTTCCTCTTCTTCTTCTCCTTCCTCTTCCTCTTCCTCTTCTTCTTCTTCTCTTTCATGAGCAACTCAAACTGTAAATTCATATGACAGTTTCTATCTCACTGCAAATATTTGCCTTCCTAGTACGTTCTAGTAATATGTATTTCATTAAAAGTATTTTGAAAACTAAAAGCAACTAAATTGTTCTCTGATGATAGCAATGGACTCACAGTGACAGGACGTGTTTATATGTGAATAGAAAGCTTCTTGAACGCCAACTGCATCTGACCAACGTTCTATGTGCTGTATTTGTGTGACCTTGTGACTAAGGACAAAATAATCATACAGCAGCAGTAAACTGAAAGTTTACATATATGAAACATGTTTAATGATATAAAGTCACATAGTTGAGTGTGTGACTCTGGGGAAAGACTAGCTGGGTTTTAGTAGTTGCTTGTTTATCAGCTGTGTGACCTTGAACCTTATTGCATAAGTGTCTGTGCCTCAACTTGCCACGTCTGAATAACGAGGATGATCGAATGGAATAATACAAGCAGATTTAGAACCGTACCCAGCCCTTAGAAACCTTTGAGAAATATTTATCTATGATTGATATTTTGATGTGAAATGGGGTCCTCGTTGGTCACTTCCTCTCTCTGGGTCTTGGTTACTTAATCTGTAAATGTCAGGATTTGGTTACATTTTATAGTTCTCTGAAAATACATAAATATTGTGAATAAGAAGAATTGTGATTAGGCTGTGTGTCATTTGGGCACAAAGGGTAGGTAGTTTACATAAATGTAATAATTTTTGCTTCTTTTAAACAAACCACATTATTACAGTTTTAAATTTTCTTACTCTTGTTCATTCAATATCTGTAATCAGTGTCACTGGCAAGGATTTTTCTCAATAACAGTCTTGTATCTTACAAAATACAAGGTTTGCACACACACACATACCTCTGCGCATGTGTGCGTGCACACACACACCCTCCTCATACACGAAGGATCTAAAGTAGACAAAGGTCCACTGTGCATTTCACTACTAAAGAGCTGTTGGGTTTGTTTTGCTGCTATCTCCCTACCCCACCATGTCCTCATCTCACACAACCCCAGCAAAGACAAACCCTGGTGACAACCATGACCTAGTTCCCACCCCCACAAACGTTAAGGTTGTCAGATTTAACAAATAAAAATGCAGGATGCCCGGCTCAGTTTGAATTTTGCACAGTGATTAGTTTTTTTTAATATATAGCAATATTTTGGACAGAGTTTATCTGGACTCTGAATTTCACTGGTGCTTGGGATTTTATGTGGCAACTCAATCTGAGCAGTCTTTACTCAACACTCTGCTGTTCTGTCCTATATCCCGTCAAGCTCTTGAGATTTCCCCAAAGATGCCCCCAAACGCAGGACTTTTATTTTAGGCATAAAAGCAGAAGACTTGGAATGGGGAGGGGTACTGTGAGAATAAGCCCTGGGGCCCATGGAATCCAGCCAGCTTGTGAAGTGTGGAAGAATGTGGGGGCTTGCTTCTGGTTTTCTGGCGAGATAAGCTGGGCGGCAGGCTGGCAGTCAGGAGGCAGGGGCAGGGGCTCTAGGAGTTGGAGCTGCAAGTGAAAAAAGCCAGGGAAAGTACAAAGCAGCCCCTCAGGAAGCGGCGACCGTACTCAGCTGAGTGTCAGGCAGTGAGACCCACTAGCACTGTGCTCTTCTTCCCCCGCCAGCACCCAGCGTCGGGGATCTGGCACCTGCAATCCTTTGCTTGTCCTTCCAGAGAGAGCTACGGTCAGCTCAGCAGGACCCTGAGGTCATTCCTCTCTGTTCTTTCTCTATTCTCCATCCTTGATAAAATAAAAGGACTACTGATTCTTACTTTAAGCTTGGTGCTTAACATCTCTGGGACTGAATTTTCTCTCTTGAGAATCGAGGTCAAACTAAAAAGTTGGTCACCACGATCTTTACCCTAATGGACACTATTAAGGAAATTTCTACATGAGCTCAAGAGAAGCCCAGGATACAGTCCTACCTTCTCCATAAATTAGTATTCTAGCTTAGGACAAATAATTTAACGTAAAAGAGTATCTTTCCCTTATTATGTAATATATATGTATCTAATTTTTCTTCCTGAGACAGAGTCTCACTCAGTAGACCTGGGTAGAATGTCATGGTGCCATAGGTCACAGCAACCTCAGCCTACTGGGCTCCAGAGATCCTCCTGCTTCAGCTTCCCAAGTAGCCAGGACTATAGGTGCCCACCACAAAGCTCGGCTTTTTTTCTATTTTTATAGAGACAGGGTCTTACTCTTGAGTTCAAGCAATCCACCTGCCCTTGCCTCCCACAGTGCTAGGATTTCAGGTGTGAGCCAAGGTGCCCAACCTAAGCAGTTCTAATTTAATCAACTGTCTTAGACTTGTTTTTATCTTCTATAAAATAGAGGATTCTTACTGGTTCATCTCTGCTTCCATTCCTAAGATTTGATGTTTTTCCAAGTGAATGGCCCTAAGTATTTTTGATCAAAGCATAACAATATGAGAACACAATTAGCCAGAACTTAAAAGATGAATGCATTTTAATTCTTAAATGGTAATTTAAAATCTTTCTTAAAAGTCAAAGGAACATTCAAGATCTGGCTCAGGTCACATGCTTGAAACCATCCCTCTCTCCCCAAGTCCAGCTGTATTACCTTTACTTCCACACCACATGTCTGTCCCTCATCATCACTGTAGCAACAACCCAGCACCCACCTCTCCTGCCCTGGTTTATTCCATAGCTCTTATCACTCTTGGACAAACCAAACTTTTTACATGTTAGTTTATTATTAGCATGTAAGGGTAGACATTTTTGTTTGTTTTTCACCAGTTTTATTCCCTAGCAGGGAGAACAGTGTCCAGCATAGAGAAGGCATCCACTAAATACATGTTAGATAAGTCTGTTTATTCTTTCCCCAAAGACTATTCAAAATCAATGAAAGCAAACGATATATGTTTACTGTTAGGCATGTAACTCTATG